AAATTGTAAGTGGACAGAATTATAGGACGACAAAGAAGGATAAAAGACACTTTGAGTGTCTGGCTACCAGAGTAGTTACATATGTTAACTTCTTTGAATGACCTGGAACTTTGCATATGTATATATATTATTATTGACTCTAGTTTGATCTTATGATATGCTTTTCAAGATTTGTTTGATGATGTCTAAGTTCATTTTTGTCATTTTTATATATCAATTTATTATATTTTAGCATGATAAAATTATATTTTATTACTGAAAATCCTATAGGAAACATACTTTCACTATTGCGAATCTGACATATTCCAGTCCTAATTCCCATGAAACAATACTTTTTATCATGTGATTTCTAAACATGTAAACCTTCCTTAGAAAGCAAAAGGTATAGCAGAAAATAAAGTATTGCATGGTAAAGTATTGTAATGTATAACAACACAACCAGGAATACTCAGCCTGAAGGGAAATATCAGGATAAGATTCATATTACGAGTGAAACCTGAGGTTGGCAAAGGATGAATGAGAATCATCCAAGTAATTAAGGAGAGAAAGCTTTTCTAGGTAGAAAAAATAAATACTACAGAATGTGTAAATGCATGGAAGCACAAAGTTCAGGGTACAAAGTAAATGTAATCTGTATTATCTTGGGTGATGGGATAGGCAATATACAATAAGGGGGAGGTCAGCACAAAATAATCAAGATAGGTGAGGACACTGGGAGGAGCACAGAGTTAAAGGTAACAAAGGTAAATACTGTTACATACACAAACCTGCAATAACAGTAATAATAGTAACCTATAAGTGAAGACATACACACACAAGTTCAACAGGAGTGGGAAGGCAAGTGAGACTACATCCATGAACATACATAGATTTGTCAGAGGATATTTCTACATAAGCATTTACATGTATATGTGTATTAGAGCATACAGGGGCAAAGTTATGAAAATATGTGAGCCATAACCAAACACCTTGATGGAATGAGTCAATGGGCTTGGGGGCTCAGGACCATAGTCTGGGGTAGGGGAGAAGTATCAATGTCAATTGACAGAACACTGCCCACAGAGACAATGTTCTACATCTTACCGTGGTGAATAGTGACTAGGGTTTTAAAAACTTGTGAGCAGCTCCCCATCCAGAGCAAAGAAGAGTGAACAAAATCAAAGATGCATAGAAACAATTACTCCAAAGGACTAATGGACCCTACAAACCTAAGCTTCCATGACCCTGAGACCAGAAGAACTAGATGTGCCCAGCTATCACTACTGATAGCTCTGAAAAGGATCACAACAGGAGATCCTAGATAGAGTGGTAGAAAAATGTGAAAGAAAAACTCAAAATAATAAAAAAGACCAGGATTACTGGACTGATAGAAACTGTTGGAACCCCCAAGACCATGTCCCTTAGACAACCTTCAGGCCTGGAACCAAACTCGCTCCCATAGCTCAACTTTCAGCCGAGCAATAGGCCTATAAGGTAAACAAGGCGTTCTGGTGGTATAGTGGTTAAAGCAGTCAGCTACTAATCAAAAGGTCAGCAGTTCAAACCTACCAACTGCTCTGTGGAAGAAAGATGGGGCAGTCTACTTCTGTAAAGATTTACAGCCTTGGAAACCTGATAGGGCAGTTCTACCCTGTCCTAAATGGGTTGCTGTAACTCTGAATCAACTCAGTAACAATGGGTTTGATTTTGGGTTTTGGTATAAGGTAAACGGGAGCTCTGGTGGCATAGTGTCTAAGGCATTTGACTGCTAACCAGAAAGCTGGTGGTTCAAACCCACCAGCCACTCCTCGGAAGGAAGATTGGGCAACCTATGTCCATAGTGATGTTGCCTCGGAAACCCAAGGAGGGGTTGCTATGAGTCGGATCCAACTCGACAGCAGTGAGTTTGGGTTTTTGTTTTTTTTTTAAGGTAAAAAGTAACACTAGGATTGTACACCCTCCTTAGAACAATCAACCACGTAAGATCAAAAGGCAGCATTTACCTAGGGATAAGCTCAGAAGGAAGGAAGGGATAGGAAAGAAGGACAAATGGAAACAGTAAACACAAGGAGGAAGTGGGAAGAGTGCTATCACATTGTGGGGATTGCAATCAATGTAATTAACTAAAACATGTATAAATTTTGTTGAATAGAAAACCAACTTGCACTGTAAACTTTCACCCAAATCACAATAAAAAGTTTAAAAAAAAAATAAGTAAGTATAATGTATATTAAAATATATATATGTATATATGTGTCTATATATATATTTAGGAGCTCTGGTAGCATAGTGCCTAAGGCACTTGACTGCTAACCAGGAGGCTGGCGGTTCAAACCCACCAGCCACTCCTCAGAAGGAAGGTTGGGCAATCCTACTTCCGTAGTGATAACTGCCTCGGAAACCCAAGGAGGGGTCGCTAGGAGTCGGGGCCGACTCGATGGCAAATAACAACATATATATATTTATCATCTATATTCTATATATTGTATATGTATTATTTATTGTATATATATAAATATATATATATTAAATGTGTGTATATATATACACACATTTAAATATAAGGAGTTAACACTTCTCTTCTTTCCTATTTAAAAAAAAAAGGAAGAGAAGTTAGTTTTAATACTCTCCATTTCAGTGCTTCTGCAAGCCTACAAGCCAAAACAAAAACAAACCCACCAAACTCACTGCCATGAGTTGATTCCAACTTATAGAGACCCTATTGGGTTTCTGAGGCAGTAAATCTTTACGGAAGTAGGCTGCCCCATCTTCCTTCCACAGAGCATCTAATGCGTTTAAACCTTCAATCTTCTAGTTAAGAGCCAAATGCCTTAGGCACTGCGCTAGCAGAGCTCCTTATAAGCCTACTCTTCTATAAATCTATCTCCGGATAGATGAATTAGAAAAATGAGTTCCTCTTGGGCAGATGAAGTAGAAGAAGGTACTACTTCCAGGTAAAAAACAGCCCTGGGCGTGATTGCTTCTCAAGAAGAGGGCACCTCTGTGCCAAGAAAAATGGATAGATACAGACAGATGCAGCCTTATGCCAGATGAATCAAACACATCATGGATTTTAGGCCCTATAAGCCCTCTTAACCAGGTTCCACTGTGCAGTTCACACACTATATAATCATACATGACAGCCTTGAGAAAGCTGTCCTGCACATAAAAGCAGCATACTAGATAAGCAGAAATTATTGAGAACATATGGAAAAATACTGTTTCCATTCACTCATTCATTCAACAAATATTTACTGAAGACATAGCATGTGCCAGGGCATTTGGGCATTCAGAAGACACTGGTGAGCCTTCTTGTATTACACTTAATTTGTAAATAACTCTCAATAGTGGTTATTATTGAAGAAAGGATACATTTGGGATGGGGCGGAGATAGAAGCAGAGGTGGAAAGAACTCTTGTATTGTTTGAATTTTTTTATTAGCATGCATTTTTATTTTTTTTTATTAGGATTTGGGTAAAGATTTACAGAGTAAATTCACTTTTCATACAGCAGTTCACATATACTTTGTCTCATGTCATTGACCAAAATTTACAATGCAGCA